TACACCTGTCTGCAGGACCCTGGCACCATCGGCTTGCACCAATTGAAAATTCATTTGTTTGACATGTGGGCTTGCTATGGAAACGTCCTAGCAAAAGAGGAAGCCCTGGGATTTGGTATCATTAACAGTTAAAAAGCTTGATCAGATTTTTAGTAGAAACAAGCTTATTTAAAATTCTAGATGAGGACTTGTGTAGATTTGGTTAACAAAGATAGTCCTATGGAAAATCTCAAGAGGAGAAATTTTTATTTTCTGCTAAATCTGGGCTTGAAAACAGAAAAATGCATATTTGGAAAGTAATTTTTTCTGTTCCTTAAAGAAGTTAGTTTTAACATATGAAAGAATGCATCATTTTTATGTTCAAATGGCTTGTGTTTTCAATCTTAAATAAGCAGTTGTTGCAACGTGTGCATTAGTCACCCCAGGCAGCTAACTGATAGAAATTTGGAGTAGCTCAAATTCCTACTGAAGATACTGAGGAATCTTGATGTGTCTGTGCTGATGGACAATAAACAAAAGGCAGCTATTCATTAGAAACATGGTTAAAGAAAAAACACTCAGCAAGTGGAGTAGAGGAATACAGGGAATAGAGTTCTATACATGATTCAGAGCACTTTGGGCTTTCATTATTTTCATAAGGTAATAAAACAGTTGACTGTGTCCCTATAAAGAAGCATAGTGATTTGTTCTTTTATGGGGAGAGATCTTTTTCTTTTTAATTCCACATATTCACAGTTTTTTTATAGATTTTGTGAACTGGTTATGGAATTTGATTTAAAGGGACACTCTCAACTTCATTAGGCTTCAAATTTTACCTTTTTCCATAAACAGGTAAATGCCACTTGGTTTTCTTGTTTGAGATTGTTTCCAGCATGGCTTTTAGATGTTTGACAAGAGGAGTGGGATAGAAGCTTGAAGAAAGGGAGGGAGGGAATTGCAGCAACTTAAAATTTGTGCTGGTTTTTGTTAATACTGGGGTTTTTCAAAAGACATTCAAAGACCTGTTTGCAGTCTTCTGGGTAGGCCTGTCTAAATTAGCACATGGGCCCAAACTCCTGCTGACTCTACTGCTTTAAATTGTGAGGAAGTCCAAGGAAAGCACCTTTTGCTCTCATTTGTGTCTCAGCTAACAAGGCTTCCAGTCTGTAGGAAAAAGTTCAGCCCTGCTGAAGTTGTACAGGAGGCAAGAGGAGGAGGAGGATTTTGTTTGCTTTTATGGAATTCTGTGCTGATCTTGTGTGTAGAGTCAGCATTTGAACTTTTTTTGCATGAATGCCTAAAAGCAAGCAGAGCAGGCTGCATGTCATTAACAGTTTCTCTTTTGTTGTGCACACAAGTCGTTACCAGAGCGTGCGCTGCAGCTTTGGCACCACCTAAGAGCTGTCTTGTCTTTCACCTCAGAGCTGTCTGGAGTTCAGCCTCAGGATTCAGGAGTTCATTGAACTCATTCGACAGAACAAGAGACTGGATGCTGTGAGGTATGAAATTAGGATGCTTTCCACACAGTTTTCTTAACAAGATGTATTGTGCTTCATTAGAAACATGTGATTGTTGCTGCAACACCCAGAGGCCCTGTAAAGCCTTGGAGGGTCTCCCCTGGTATTGGCATCAGTCTTTGGATTGAAGCTGGACTTGGACTTTCTTTAAAGGCCAAGTGTCATTCCACACATGCACCTTTTAAAGAGTTGATGTTGTCCCTGAAACTCTGTCTTCCTATTCTTCTAAATCAAGGTTTAGAACATTAACCTGCTTTAAAAATCAAATGGATTTTCTGGTGGCATATAGTGTAATATATAAATGTATATTCACCCTTAACTGATTTTCAAGAGGTACAGCTGGCTTCTCATGGCAATTCATTACAGTTTTAATTACCAGAAATACTAAAAGGTTAATGAAACCTTCATCTAAAGCTTTAACATTTCAATTTTGACTGATTCTGCTCTGCTATCTTCATTAAACTTTTTGTTCTGCAAGTTACCTGCAAGGCCATGCTCACCCCTGTATTGATGCCTAATTCAGTTCTGTGTGGTTGTGGGTGGGAGAGGGGTGAGCTGTGTGAGGCTTTCCTCACTCCATTCCTCTGGCTCCAAATGAGGAAACCAACTCAATATCCGTTTTTACCTGCTCTGAAGTAGTTCAGTGGGACTACAGAGAGAAAGCAGCAATGCCCAGTGGGGTTTGAATCAGTGACAGAAGTGCAGTCACACCTCAGCACTGCCTGACTTCACCACAGCAGAGTTTTCTGACAGTGCTTTCAGTGCCAGCGCATGAAGCAATTTATACATCCAAGTTAATGGTCCTGATTGAGGGTGGAATCATGTTCCAGGATAACAGAGGAAACTAGTCTGGCTGAAATAAGTAGAATTTTGATACTGAGACAAAGAAATGCATTGATAATTTGCATTTGGAAATGCATTGCTAAGCAATGACCTTGCCAGCACCAGAGCACGGTGCAGGTGGCAGAGCTGCTGGAGCTTACATGTGCACACGGGAGGGAGAACTCCCAGCAGGTTCTGTTTTTAAGAATATTTAAACCTAAAGAGAGGTGAGAAGTTCATGGCCCAACTTGAAGCTTTGCTGATAAATCCTGATAAGAGCACTGTTGCCACATAGTATTTCTGTGTTAAGGAAGTTGCAAGTTCTGCTGCCTTTAAACCCAAACTAGGTACTTGAGAAACTGAAACTTGTATTTGTGAGCTGATTTTTTGGTCAGAGCAGCACAGAGGGACAGAAAACTACCATCATGTATTCACAAACTGAAAACATTCTAGCATATTCCCAAGTCTAGATGGAGAAGCTCTCCTGCAGGGCAAAGTGTTAGGGTTATTTTCAGGTTTTATTTCTAATTTCATTCAGATGCGTGGCTTGCTTTGAGCTAATATCATTCCTACTTTGCCCTACTTGCACTTAAATCATCTTTGCTCTGGTCCAAGCCAATGCAAATGTGCAATCTGATGAATTGCAGCTAATTTTAATGTTAATAATTAAAACCAAACATAATTAAAAACAAAACCTACAAGCTAGCATTTAGATGTGTGCACTTACCCTTTGATAGAATTATCAAATCCTTAGGAATTGTCAAGTACTTAAGCAAAGGATGAAAGAGACTCAGCTCCATTATCTGTCTTCTGAAGCCCATGGTGCTCTTTATACCAAATGAATGCTGTGCCTTTAGCTTTATTCTCAGTTTGTTTCTTTGCCAAGTGTGCAGTCATGCATCTTAACAATGACTAGTCCATGCTCTAAAAACTATTTTCTTTGAGCTACAGCTTCCTTATGTAGCTTGGAAACCAGGGGGCAGGCACAGAGCTGGAATAAGGAAATGGGCTGAGAACTGGGGCAAAGCAGATCAGGTCCTTCTGTATTTTATTGTCACTGGGTATTTGTTTCCCTCTCATCCCTTTTCCACATCAGAAGTGGGAAAACCTGCAAGCTGACAGCCCTCAAGAGGCCCCAGCATGCTTTGTGTGCAATAACCTGTGTGGGGTTTACAACAGAGCTCCTGTCTGTAGGGCAAACAAGGCATCCATCCCGAGTGCTGCTGGGGTCAGGTGTGTGTGTTCCACCTACCTGCTGAAATCCAGGGCTGACACACATTCTACACTTGGCAATTCCAGATTGCTACTCATGGCAGGGCTGCTTTAACTTCCATTGGAAAAGGAAAAGGAGCTATGGAAGTCTTTCTGTATCTTAATGGACTCCTTTCTAGGAGGATGAGTTTTGATTATTTTGTACATTCATACTGCAGCATCTCAATGCTTCCTTTCAATAATGTGGCTTAAAAACTGTAAGTTTTTCCATTGCATTCTACTTGTTTGAAAGTAAATAAGTAATGAATAAGGGAGTACCTTTGGGGAGGTGTGGCATAAATCTCATTGCTTCCAGCAAACCCTTGCAACTTGTGGTTTTATTAGCTTGCTTCTGTTAAGTGCCTGCAGCAGGATTCTTTCAGTATTGTGTCTGTGGTGCAATAAATAGGTCAGGCATCCATTAGAAAGCAGAGAAAGAGGCTGTTTACCAAGGGGTTTCCTGGATGAGTGGAACTGGGGGAACTGACATTTTGTAGAAACGCAGCTGGTGTTTAAATAAGTTTGAAAGCTTTTGCTGCCTGCTGAGAAGCTCTGAAGTGGCATTGCTTTTACATGAAAATTGATGTGAACTTTAAAATTATACATCTTATTTAATAAGTGTAGCTTTTAGAAGGAGTACAAGCAGACTTTCCTCTAAGGTGCCTTATCAGAGTAGCCTTGAAAGTGCAAGTTTCAAGAATGTAAAAAACTGTTCTTGAATGCAAAGAGTAAATCTCTTAACCTTAACTATAACACCGTTTTTTGCCTAGTGTCATTAGCCTTTAACTCTCAGTCTCTAGAGCTTTTTTTCAAATTTGTACCTACTAAAGTAACAATGAATGACTGATGACACCAATTTCACACTTTCAGAGCTCTCACTAATTTCATTCCGGGAAATCTGACAGCATTTTGATATTTTGCTCTTATGCAATGCCAGAGATACACAAAGTTCTCAGCTAAAAGCTTAACAAAACATCATGTGCACTTCTTGTGCTGGGAATACAAAGGACAAAAAGGAGTAAATAATAGCTGATGGTGGGCAAAGTTAGGGAAAAATGGCTACAGTCTATATTTTAGTCAACTTCCCTCCTACAAGGATGAATGAACACTTTATTTTTTTAGTGGGGTGCAGTTGAACATGGGTATAAATGTACTTTTGAGCCATTTGAGTATAAATTCTGCTGGTTGTCATAAGGGTCCCAGATAAAGGCATTCAGGCATTGCCCAAAACACTGAGCACAAACAAGTCCTGTCTTGGTAACACCTTATATTTGTGCTCAGTTATTGCTACTGCCCAGTAAATGTGTTCAGTTTTAGCTTCAGGCAAATGTAGCCATACGAGCTGGGCATTGCAAATGTGGATCCTTTTGTAACAGTTTAGTGAACTGTTGGTCTTCAAGTCTTTGTAAATATTTGCCAAGTACAATACATCAGCTGTACCTGTGGGGGCTGGAGGGGCACACAAAAGATGATGAACTTTGCAGAGTTTACAGGATCATTCTGGGATTTGAAAAACAAAATTTTCTACCTATTACTTAGATCTGTCACAGGAATTTAGTGACTTCAGGGATGGTCTGTTGTCAGGATTTAAACATTCTTTTCCTGAAAAATTCAGCCCCCTGCCTTAGCTATAGAGACTCATATGTGCTAATGGTGGTAAAAACACGGCAATTAAGCATTGTAATGTTCACACAGACCTCAGGAGCAAACCAACAGAGATGGAATTGCTGAATGACAAGGCAAGGGGTGAATAATGGCATGAGGCAAATAAGGTGTAATTCCACTGTTGTGTATTCCCAGGTAACTGACGGTGTTGTCTTGCTTCCCAATCTAAAAAAGAACTGAGTGCTGTGAATTCATGAACTTGCTTCACCTGTGAAAGGTGCCTTGCTCCATTTGAATTCCTCAGTGGAGGGAGTTCAGCCATAGCATGCACACCTCGTGGGAAACTTCCTTGTTGTTTTTTAAGGAGCACAGGAGAGAGTCAGGCGATAAAGAGTAACACCAGGTCACTCTGGAAACCGAACTCCCATCCCAGTGTGCCCGGTGCTTTGCACAGGTACAGGCTGCTGGCAGCCAGGGGAGCCCCAGCCCTAGGCAGGCTGTGCAAGCTCAATGTCACTTCTGCTCCACCATCACAGAACACAACTGCACTCTGAGCAGTTCTTGGGAGATTTCTTTCCCTTTTTTCTCTCCTGCATGCACAGATAATCTCAGTTGGTAGATCTGAATTTTTTTGTTTCCCTAATCTGTGTTTGCAAAAGCTCTCAATGTCATCTGCAGCTCTCCACAGTTGTTTTAGCTTTGTTCCAGTGTGTCCAGGCTGTCTCTTCTCCAGGCCAGGGGGTTTGTGCTTCTGCCCTCAGAACAGCCATCACCTGGGGAACAATGTTTGCATTCCTGAATTGCTCACCCAGCATAGGAAATTGGGTGGAAACATTCTGTCCTACATAACTTCCATTGCTTCCTGGCCTGGGTGGGAGAGGAAGTGCGAGTACTGAAGCACTGCTGAAGTGACTTTCTCATGGTATTGATGGCCTCAGTCTACTTGTCAAATTCAGAATTGGAAAAAACAACCGTGCCTAGGTTTTCTTATTCAAGCCATGAAATGGGCATTTTGGAAATACTGTCTGTTCCTAACAGTAATTTAGGAATTAATAAAAGACTCTTCAAAAGTTAAAAAAGAGCACATTCTGAGTGGAGGACTTGAGAGATGGCTTGGTATCTTTCCTGCAGTACAAACTGTGCAGAAGTCACAGCACAGGGAAAATTCTCCTGCACTTATGCAATGCCAGAAATTCAGTGTAATGCTGGTTCCATAGCCAGCCTGCAGTGCTGCATCTGTGCACCACTGGAAACAGGAGCTTTCAGCAGAAATGCTGAACTAATCACCAGTTTAAAGGCTGAAGGTCTTCCTGCACACTTACACTCCAACTTGAGAATTACGCATCTTGTGAACACTGGACTGGGGAAACTTCCATACAGGCTTTTAAAGTAGTTGGAGATCCTCAATCTGGTAATAATTTTGTGGTTTCTTGCTACTTCCTGAAAAATATTAAAGTTTGTATTTTTTATTTAAATATGTTTCTGGTAATTCTGTCACTTATTTCAAATATCCAAGCTTTCAGCCACGTGTCTATCCCTTAGAATCTGTACAAAAATTTATACTGAGATTCTAATTAATTTTTTATTTTCCTGGCTAAAAAAAGGTGCTCTTAACAAGGGGTTTTCTATTACATTGCCCTACAATTTCTTGTAGTCTGCACAGAAAGTGATACTGCCTTCAGGCCTATACCCCTGCCCCCCAAAAATCATTTATTCAAGATAAACATTGCAGTTATTTGAACACTCTTGATGTGTAATGGGTTTGGAACAGCTGATTTTCAGCCTGCCTTTATCTCACTTGTGAGTGTATCCCAGAGGAGTGTCATACACTGAGCCTGCATGAGCAGAGACATTTCTTCTAATAAAATCATGGTTAGTAATCATTCTTCTAATAATCATGGTTGTTTTAGTTCTAGGTGAGGCAAGACTTCACACTACAGTAAAAAGATTCTGCTTTCTAAGAAATCACAGTGTAAAAATAGTAATTATTAGTCATTCTTGCATTCCCATTTGCAGGGTGTGTTTTTTCCAAGTCCTTTAAATGTACATAGAGCACTCCTGGAGTTCATATATATGTAGGTTTTCTCTGAAGTCTTCCATAATCAGGGGAATGTCCTTGATTTGGAGCCAAGGCTGTCTAATAAAGTATCAATTCTCTGTTTCAGACATGCAAGAAAGCACTTCAGTCAGGCTGAGGGCAGCCAGCTGGATGAGGTTCGACAGGTGATGGGGATGTTGGCCTTTCCTTCAGACACCCACATCTCTCCCTATAAGGTAACATGGAAATTCTGTGCTGCAGCACAATATTAAAACAGATGTTCCTTTTTCAGCACAGGAAAATACATTGATAATATCAAATTAAAGGGGTTTTTTAAATTTTGCTTCCTAAATTCCACCTTTGTAGAGTTCTTAATTTTAGTAACCAGTCCTTGTACATTAATCCAGAAAGTATTTGTGTTGTTTCAGTTGGATTTAACAGTAACATGGCTTCACACTGAGCTAGGCTTACCATGAACCCAGCATTAGGGATCTGTGGGCTGAAAGCACAATAATTAAATGTACAGCAAGAGCAGAAGATGGGCAAGTACAAAGGGAAAAAAAAAGAGAGTCTTGTTCAACATACAAACCTGTGGCTTTAATACACCAGCAGCAGTTCTCAGTTCTGCTCCTCACATTACTGTTGTTGCAGTGGTTGGGATGAAAAAATGAAGGATGATTTGAATGATGTGAAAGCAGTATTTTTGTTCCTTAAAATAAGTTTTCATTTATTTGGATTATGCAAATGGATGTAGATATTAGTGGTGATATCTACATGTAAATTTAAATCAAGCACAAAATTCACAGATAGCTGTTTCTACAGACAGTTCTGCGGTCATGTGCTAATTCACTTTTTAACTTGCTTTGGAGGCAGAAGGTGGAGAAGAGCTGAGTTGTCAAAGCAAGACAAGATTTCCATGAAATGCCAAGCCAGCACTGGCAGTGCCAGTATAAACACATTTTCGAAACATGATGATGAAATCATGGCTTAACAAAACAACCACACAAAAAAACCCTGAAATGAACAACCCACAGAATCAATATGAGTTTCTTTGCTCATCCCAGAGTCTTGGAAGGATCCTGGTATTTTACATGCTAGATTTGATCCAAGTCTTGAATATAAATGATAGATGTGTTAGAAGACTGGGTGTAAGATAGAATTTATCAATATTTTAGCAGTTAGAAAGAAATAGGTAGGAAATAAGAATCCTGTGTTTTATTCTAAGGGCTGGTTTGGATGGAGTGTTTCAGTGAGGGAGAACAAGGAGAAATAGCTGGGATTGTTCCACATACAACCATACAATGAGAGCAAATTCCCTAATGCTTATGGATATGACTGAAAGCATTCTGGTTTATGGCAGTTAAGTTTTGAATTCTCTAATAATTACCTAGTTCACCACAATTACAGCACATGGTTGTTTGGAGTTACCTTTAGTATCTTGACTGTGAGTTCTGTGCATAAATGGCTTCCTAAAATGCCTCTTAAGTAAATTCTCTTTAAATCTGTGACAAAGTTGGTGAGATCAGATCTCTCACCAGCTGATTTTTATTAATCCAAGGAAAGAAGCCTCCTCTATAACCAATGACTAGAACTTTCTCTGCCTTTTCCTCTGTGAGGAAAACATTCACTGCTGTGGCAGAAGCAGCTGTTTTCTTTGATATCTGTTGAACAATCTTATGTCACTTTGCCTCCCACTAGACCAGATTTCTTGGAGCCCAATCCAGCCTGGTCTCCAACAGCAGAATGACTGAACTGTATAGGATGGAAAAGGTCTGTGAGATCATCCAGACCAACCATCAACCCAGAGCTGTGTTCTCATCTCGGTTTTCTCCTTGTGCTCAGCCCTTCCCAGCTCTGTGCCCTTCTCTGGAGCCACTCCAGCCCCTCCGTGTCCTTGTCAGGGCCCAAAGCTGAGCCCAGGACTCGAGGTGGGGTCTCAGCAGTGCCAGGTTCTGCAGATGGCACATCCACAGCCCCTCTGGTGCCCTGGGCCAGCCTCTCCCCACCCTGACAGCACAACTTGCTAATGCCCAGTCTAACCCTGCTTGCTTTCTGTTTGAGGCCATTTCCCCTGTCCTGTCACTCCATGGGAGGGAGTGGCTCCTGTCACAAGTCCCTCCCCAGATCCTGTGTGGCACCTTTAGGTGCTGTAAGGTGTCCCCAGATTGTTTCTCCTGGTTCCCTCAGTGTAGCTTGCAGAGTTGGCAATATGATCAGGATATAGTATTTATATGATGAATATGATATAAAGGTAAATAAATATTGTCACTCTCCTGACCCAAGTGCAGGTTATGGATACAAAGGGTAAGAAGGAAAGGATTAGGTGTCTGCCTGCATAGATGACACTCAGTGTATTGTCAAAGGATCTTCCCTTCTTACATGACTCTTCAACAGCACTGCTTTTATAGCTCAGTGTGTCCTTGACCTGTGGGTTTAGTTCTTACTTCCATGGAAAGGAAAATCCTGACTTTTAGGTAACACACAGCATTAAAGAATTTTGTCTCTAAATGAGTAGCTGCTGCAAGCTTTCTCTAACCTGGGCTTGTGGCAGCTTCTTCAAATTGAAATCTTTTTACAGAATTCTGTAACTATTATGTAGTGTAATTGACTGTCAGCAGAATTAGCCTGCCTTAAGTTAAAAAACACTTCTGACTTTTTGATGTTAATGCTTCAGAGGCTGCAGAAGAACCATTCCACAGTGCTAATGTTGTTCCTATGTAGCCCAGCATTGTGGGAAACTAAATGGAAGAAGTAACCTCACCAGGATTTACATATCTTGATTAGAACATTTGGTAGGTGATGGGGATTGAATATTGCTCCAGCTATTTTAAATAACACTTGTGTTAATAAAGTAGTGTTAAAAGGTACTTTTTAAACACTGTATATTGGGGTGTCACTTCTGGCTTGTGATGGGTTTGCACAAGTGAGTTTGGCACAGTTTGTCACTCCCAGGCTTTTGCTGCCTGGGACAATCAGACTGAAAGCAACTTCAGTTGTGTTGTTTTTTAACAGGATCTCTTGGACCCTGCTCGATGGAGAATGCTGATCCAACAGTTCAGATATGATAACTACAGACTACATCAGCTGGGAAACAATTCTGTTTTTACTATAACACTCCAGGCAGGCCTTTCAGCTATAAAAACACCGTATCCTTTAAAGCAGATATTACTGGGAGTGAAAAAAAAGCCATGTGGGGGTTTATTTTTGCTTTATGGAGGCTTTTCAGAGAGCTCAAATAAGAAATCTGGCACTTCAATATTTTTGTTCATCAGTTGTTTAAATGGGGTATAAATTGGTCACTATTAAATTAAGGGGAGATTATAATTAAGAGTATTATGGTTTAAAAAAAAGGCACGCCCAAACAAAAATTTTAAGGTAAAATGTAACATTGTGTCTGGTTTGGCTGTCTTTTCATGTCTGAAATTAGTGAATATGCCTGCAAGGGTTACTGAGCTGGGTCAAAATTACTGGGTTTTAAGCACTTAAACACAAATTGCGCTGCAAGGTTTTACATGAATATTCAAAAATAGCTGCATCTTTTGAAATTCCATTGCGTTTGTTGGGCTGGTGCTGCTGGAGTGCTGCACCTGTGCCAGACACGAGTTCTGCTCACTCTCGTTCCCTGAAACAGAGCAAACCCTTGATTCTTTTGTGTGGACGTGAAACTTGAATGCAATGTTCTGTGCATTCTGCCCTGGGCTCTGCTGGCACAGCTGACGATATTTCACAGTGCAGGTTTCCCGATATTTCACAGTGCAGGTTTCCCGATATTTCACA